AATGTGAATATTTACAGTCCCAGTATGGGTAGCCAACAGTCTGGATTATCTAATCACCTATTTAGAACATTTTTGAAAAACTAGTTTAAAACATTTTGTTTTGCTTGATGTAGACCTTTAACAAAGAGGAATTGGTTAAAAAGCAATATTGATACAAACATGGAGATGATGATTAGGGCAGTGAGGAGCTGCAGTCAGTTGAGATTGCATGTCCGACTACAAATGTTTGCAACCCACATGGCAACACATTGGGTGTCTTGCTATGTCAAACCTGCGGTCAAGCTTACAACCAGGCTTGCTGGCAGCAAGTTATAATCCACAGCCCAGTTTTAACCGTTCACAGCTTGCTGCTGCTGGTCTACAGGAGCAGGGAGGCAGCTTGGAGGTCAAACTGCCTATTCACAAAATGAAACCTATGAAATGTAATCCTGTATCACAAGTAAAGAAAGTTCTTGTAAACAATGGTGGGACTTTAAGGTGAAATTATTCGAGTCACAGTTGACTGGAACCAAATGACACTGCCATTTCCCAACAAAAAACTGTCAGGATGTAACCTCCCTCAGAATGTAATCTGGCTAGGCCCATATGACTAGACTCCTTTCATCACGAACTAGTGGTTTTAATAAATCTTTGCTTCCGACACCGTTATAACTTGTCTGACAGGTCCATATTCAAAAACGTTCATTTACACTATTGACCAATATTTGCACTAAACTGTACACTAATTCTTGGCAGCATTATTTACTGATTGTGAACTCATGAGACATTGAATCTGTTACTGGAATATGAACCAGGTGTTAACACAACCTTAGAAACAAGCTCAGAATCTCCTGGCTGGAATTAGAATTAAAACAGCAGCAATGGAAAAGCAGCTTCAATCTAAGCCCCACTGCTCTGCAGAGATTTCTCATTAAAAATCAGCTCACATTCTGCTCGCCTCCTCTTCTTTCAAAGAATTTTAAAAAAATATATAGATTTAGTATTTCTGGATGTCATTTTATTTTAAGGCAATCTTTATTGCCGAGTACCAATTAGTGCAACAGACCCAAAGTCAGTACCAACCAAAATAGTGGTTTCAATGAGATCCTATGCTGCATCGCAGCCAGTTTCACAGTACTATTATTGCCTGGCACATTTCACTGTATCCTGGCAACATCTTCACCGAGTATACCTCTTAAACAAGATGAAGTACAGTAACGGGTGCATAACCTCATTCAGATCAACAACAGGTTATTCTGAAGAATTGTCACCGGAGGCTTTGATTAAAGTGTCAGCTTTGTCTCAGTGGCAGCATTTTCACCTTGGAGTTAGAAGAATGTGGATTCTAATTCCCCCGCATCCAGGCTGACTTGTCTTGTACTATCCAAAATATGTAACATCTGATAAGACCTTAAGTGCCATCTGCCCTCTTAGGTGAATGCAAAATATCCACAGCAACTCTGAAAAACAGCAGAGTTCTCCCTGGTGTCTCCATCTCTTACCCTTCAACAAATATCACTAAAAATATGTTCTGAAGAAAAGGTCATATCAAACTTCAAATATTAACTGATTATCTCTCTATAGACGCTGCCAGTCTTGTTGAGTTTCTTCAACATTTTGTTTGAAATTATTAAAGATCTGACCACTTCCACATTACTGTTTGAGAGCTTACTGTGTCTAAACTGGTTGCTACATTTCCCACATTATTAAACAGTGACTATATTTCAAAACTACTACTTGGTTGAAAAGGGCTGCACGATGACCTGAGTTTGTGAAAGGCATGGTATATTTTGGCACCAGTTGAAGAGAACCTGCTGCTAAACCTCTGCCAAAGATCTGGCTGACAAGATTGCGCCAAGGAAGAAACTCTCTTCCTTCCCCTGTGCTGTGTGGGTCAAAATGTGCACGAAATAAAACACGATTCACAGCAGAGCAAATTATTGAATGAATGCTGCTGTCCAGTTGTTAAAGGAAGTCACCACAACAAATAGCAACGTGACATGATCAGTTAATCTCTCCGCAATAAATAAACTCCTTCATCTACTAGAATCATTCATTGTTTCTCTATGGATAATGCTAGATCTGTTAAGTATTTCCAGCATGTTGAGATTTTTACAGGTTTAACATCTGAAGTACGTTTCTCTCAGATTAACAATTATCCATTTAGATTACCCTCATTTGGCTCCTGCGTTGTTAGTAAGGGAGGGAGGGCAAATAACGGTCAGGACACGGTGTCCTGATCTTCTGAAAGAGTGGCCGCGGGATCTTTAGCATCCCACAGCATCACTCCATTTAGCGTCCCATCGAAAAGATGGCACCTCTGGCAGTGCAGCACCCCCTCAGTACAGCACCACACAGCGTTGGCCTAGATTGTGCGCTCAAGTCTCTGCGGTGGGGCTTGAACCCACCATCTTCTGACTTTAGAGGCCAAATGCCACCTACCGAAACCCAACTGACGCCTTCAAATTGGGCGGGGAATGAAGGAGGATTCAGTGAAGTGGGAAAAAATATTTTCTAATTAATGCAACGAGTCGCCGTTAAGCTGCAGGTGGTGTTTGCAACTTTAAAAAGGTAACGTTTAAAATGCAAACCCGTACCTTTTATAAAAAGGAGCGGCCGACGGTAATACTAGTATTTTAAACCGTCTTCAAATCCCACGATTACTATAATCTAAGAAAACAAATCTTGCAAAAATACACAAGCTGTTTTGGTAAAAATGTAAAAGAAACACACACAAACAAAAGGCTTCTTCACAACCCGCCACGGTGACCGAGCGCCGCCAGTGCGCAGGCGCGGGAAATTCCAACATGGCGCCCAGTCGTGGGGGTTGCTGGGAGTTGTAGTCCACGCCGGCCCTGCTTCCCGCCTTCATGGGGCCCTCAAAACCCGCGACTCCGGGGCTAAAGAAGGGAGGGCATCGGCCACATTCCCGTCCCATATCCTTCCCCCCTCCTGCCTGGGGAGAGGGTAGCCTCCCCGCTTCGAAAGGAGCAGATTTTCGTCTTCTTTTCTGTGGCTCGGAGCGCCCGCCCATGCGCAGTGAGGCGCCGCCACCGCCGGACTACAAACCGCGCGCGGCACAAATGTACCCGGGACAGGGACCAAACATCAGATTTCGGTCAAAAAATGTGTTTCGTTTTCCCCCCAAAAAGTGCAAGTTCTTCGTAGAAATACGACTGTGAACGTGCATTTAAAATCCTCTGCATAAAGTAAATACAATTCTCAGCGTTAAAACATTCCTCTATGCTCCCGCATGGCGCACGCGCACTAATCAAAGCAAGTTCATGTTTTTTTTAAAAATGACACCCTTTTTCTCGTAAATGAAAAAAATTGACGCGGCATTTCAAAACAAAAGAGATAAAATCAAGTCTTTGGCGACGAGGATAACTTCGATTGAGGAAAGGAAGGAGACACTTTTGAATGGTCAGACCGCGGCCTAGGCCCAGGGATCGGCACAAAAAACCCCGAGACACAATAAAGCCCGAGGCCGCCCTCCCCTCACACACCACCTTCCCCCCCCCCCCTTAAACACCACACAAACAACAACCCTTCACCTTCACCATCCCTCCGCCGCTGACCAAAAATTACAAAGGGCGAACGGACATGAAGCAGCGGGGAACAGACCCCCTTTTTTCGGTTTTGTTTTAAAGATTTTTTTTAAAAATAAATAAAAGAGTGGAAATGCTTTACCCATGTTGCCGCTAAAGATGGTGGCGTGCCGGGGAGTCGGAACCAATCTGCGGGATGGGGCGAGTAGCCGGAGTTCGGGAGGAGGCGGACCCGGGGCTGGTGGGTGGGCGGCAGTTTGTGGGGTTGGGCGGGGGGGGAAAGATGCTGCTGCTGCACTCGGTCGCAACCGTCCTGAGGTAAATCCACGGCGTTTAAACGGGGCCTTCTGGTTTTTCAAAACAAACCCTACGACTAATTATTAACTGCTGCGCCTTGGCCCCGGCTTCAAGTGATTGTGTTACTGCTACTTATTTATTTTGACCTGATAAACTCAGGGGGAGGTTCGGCCAGAGGTGGTGATTGCAGACTGTTAGGATCACAAAATTACTAGTAGCAATCATTTAAACCATAGACTATTCCAGTGCTACCCTGGCTACCTTGTCTTCCACTCAGAGGTGCTGTCGTGGTGCAGTGGAAGTGTCCCTACCCCTAAATTAGTGAACCCTAAGTTCAAATCCTTCCTGTTCCAGAGGTTAACACCTCTGACCAGGTTGATTATAATATGTATCTTCCACTCTGTCAAAATTCAAGCTCAACCATAACCCTGCTGCCCGGACCTCGCTCGCCTACGTTGTTGCTTGGTCCAGCAACACTTAGATTTTGAAATCCTTATTTTTAAATCTTCCAGTGACCTTTCCCCTTCTCTATTTCTCTAATTTCCCCCAGCTCTGAGATCTCTAGGCACCTCAAATTCTTTCCTTTTGAGCACCCCTGATTTTCATCACTCTACAGTTGGAACCTATGTTTTCAGCTGTAACCACCACTTCTGAAATTTCCTCCCTAAACCTCTCCACCTCTGTTGCCTCCTTTAAGATCCTTCTGAAAAGCTATATGTTTGGCTGAGCTTTTAGTCACTTGTATCAATATTTCCTTGCGGAGTTTGGTGTCACATTGTGCCTGATTGATGCTCCTGTGAAGTACCTTGGATTGTTTTACCATGTTAAATCCGTTAAACTTGCAACTTTTGTTAGATTCCCCATTTTAAAGTTGCATCAACATTAAGTGATTATGAAACATGCTGGTCTGGTCAGCTCAAGGGCATGGGCCCTGATACTGAAATGAATTGTGAATGTTACTATCTGGGCAAACATTTATTACATAACCTAACTGCTCTTGAGATGGTGATGCTGAGCTGCTTTCTTGAATTGCTGAAGTTGATCTGGCCTTTTTAAATCCAACTTGGAAGGAGGCACTAAGTTAGCCCAGTATTGTCAAACAAAAGACACCCTTGTTCTTGGCTACTTCAATTTTCTGCCCAAAGGCAAGTTTCATTCACAAAACTCTGATCTCCACCATGGTTCCGAAAGGGTCCTGAATTCAGCTCGGTCAGAAGGGGGTTCGAATCCAATGCTATTGGCAGATATCTGACCCGTACCGACTGCTTGGTCAGCTGAAGCAGCCAACCAAACAATGTGAGTCAACTTTGTAATGGCAGGGGTGGGTGAGATCTTCTGAAATGATGATTGCTGGTGTTTTCTGGTGTAAATCCATGTCACTCTTACTTGTTGGCCAAATGTAGATCTTACTTTCAGCAAGGGGATCACTAAGGATGTCACTGTAAATGAACGGCCAACTTCTATTTCTTATGTTCTTATTTTTACCAAACTGAACGCTAGTTTTGGATTCTGTGTGTATGAATGCTGACGGTCAATCTCAACCTGGTGACAGTCAATTATTAAGGCAGCCAATAGAGAAAATCTGATTTGAACAGAAGTCCCAGGGTTGAAAGGTAGTATTCTAATTTCAATAATTCATTTCTCATAGCTAGAGTCACAGAATTGTACAGCACAGAAACAGACCATCCGGTCCAACTGGACCATGCCAACCAGATATCTTATATAAATCTAGTCCCATTTGGCCATATCCATCTAAATCCATCCTGTTCATATACACATCCAGATGCCTTTTAAATATGAAATTATACCAGTTCCACCACTTCCTCTAGCAGCTCATTCCACACACGCACCACCCTCTGTGTGAAAAAGTTGCCCCTTAGGTCCCTTTTAAATCTTTTCCCTCTCACCTTAAACCTGTGTCCTCTAGTTTTGGTCTTCCCCACCCTGGGGAAAAGACCTCGGCTACTTACTCAATCCATGCCCCTCATGATTTTATAAACCTGCATAAGGTCACCCCCTCAGCCTCCGACACTTCAGGGGAAAATAGTCCCAGCCTATTCAGCCTCCCCCTATAGCTCAGACCCTCCGACCCTGACATCCTTGTAAATCTTTTCTGAACCCTTTCAAGTTTCACAACATCCTTCCTATAGCAAGGAGACCAGATTTGCATGCAGTTTTCCAATAGTGGCCTAACCAATGTTGTGTACAGCCACAACATGCCCTCCCAACTCCTCTACTCAATTCACTGACCAATAAAGGCAAGCATACCAAATGCAGACTTCACTGTCCAATCTAACTTCGACTCCACTTTCAACGAACTACAAACCTGCACGCCAAGGTCTCTTTGTTCATCAACACTCCCCAGGACCTAACTATTAAGTGTATAAGTCTTGCCCTAATTTGCCTTTACAAAATGCGGCACCTCACATTTATCTAAAATAAACTCCATCTACCACTCCTCGGCCCATTGGTCCATCTGATCAAGATTCCGTGTACTCTGAGATAACCTTGGCCATCCATTCCACCTCCAATTTGGTGTCATCTGCAAACTTACTAACCATACCTCCTGTGTTCACATCCAAATCATTTATATAAAATGACAAAAAGCAGTGGACCCAGCACGAATTCTTGTGGCACACCGCTGGTCACAGGCCTCCAGTCTGAAAAGTAACTGTCCACCGCCACCCTCCCATCATATGAAATAATTCACATTTTGGTGCAACGCAGCGCCTTAGACTCCAGTCATATTCAGTTTTCCTTTGAAGTGCTAATACCCTTGCGTGATTATGACAGTAGCTGTTTGATTACGCTGAGGCTGGGGTTGAGGTGGGGCAAGGCACATCACAAATGAGCTCTTGTCCATACATGCCCCACCTAACATTCATACAAACATATGAATCTGGAGCAGAAGTAGGCCATTCAACTCTTCAAGTTTGCTGTGCCATTCGGTTAAATTGTGGCTGATCAATTTATGTTCCAAATTCCATGTAGAGTCATAGAGTTATACAGCATGGAAACAGACCCTTCAATCCAATTCATCTGCGCTGATCAGATATCCTAAACTGATCTAGTCCCATTTGCCAGCATTTGGCTCATATCCCTGTAAACCCTTTCTATTCATGTGCTCAACTAGATTCGTTTTAAGTGTAATTGTACCAGCCTCCACCACCTCCTCTGGCAGCTCATTCCACACACACACCACCCTTTGTATGAAAAAGTTGCTCCATAGGTCCTTTTTAATTCTTTCACCCCTGTCATCTGCCCCCAATAACTTTGATTTCCCCTGCCTAATAAGAACCTATCACCTCCACTTTAAAAATTTTCAACAATCCTGCTTCCCCCACCTCCTGGAGCTGAATTCCACTTTATGTTCCATCTGTCAACTTTCTGTCCACTCACCTAATCTATGGTATCGATCTCCATCCTTGATACATCAGCTTCACAAAAAAAATCTCCTACATTTCTTTGTGTTACCTGCAAACTTAGCCACTGTGCCTTGAATCCCTTCATCTGTGTCGGTGATATAAATTATAAAATGTGAAGTGTCCAGCACAGACCCCTGCAGGTCCCTACTTGTGACATGCTGCCAAACTGAAACAGATCTATTTATGCATACTCTTCATTTTTTGCCAGTTAGCCAACCATCTATCCGTGCAAATATGTTACTCCCTACACCATGATATCCTTTTATGTGGAACCTTGTTAAATGCCTTCTGGAAATCAAAGTACAATATATCAATGTACACCTCTTTATCCACAACTCATATGACACCTTCAAAGAACCCCAATAAGTAGATTAAATACAATTTCCTTTTCACAAAACCATGCTAACTCTTTCAAGTTATCTTGAATTTTTCCTAGTGCCCAGTTATAACGTCTTTAATGATCAATTCTAAAACTTTTCCACAACAGATGTCAAATAACTAGTCCAAAGTATCCTGTTTATGCCCCCCCGCCTTCTTAGAGTCATACAGTACAGAAACAGACCCTTTGGTCCGACCATGTTCCCAAACTGAGCCAGTCCCACCTGCCAACCCTTGGCCCATATCCCTCCAAACCTTTCCTACTCATGAACTTATCCAAATGTGGGGTTATATTTACTACTCCCCAGTCTAATGGAACCTTCCAGAATTTAATGGAGTTTGGAAAATTAACACCAACTCATCTGTTATGTCATTAGTCACCTCCTTTGAGTCCCTAAGATGACATCCACCTGGATCTGGAGACTTATCAACCTGCAACTCCACCAGTTTTGCTCAATACATTCTCCCTAAAGATTATGATTTCACGAAGTTCGTCTCTTCCTTCAACCACCTGATTTATAGTTATTACTGGGATTTTTTTTGTATCCTCTTTAGTGAAGACAGAATCAAAATATTTATTCATTACATCGACCATTTCTTTATTATCCATAATTAACTCTCTATTCTTGCCCTATAGAGGACCAACACTCACTTCATTTTTTTCAGGTGCCAGTAGAAACTGCCCGTTTTTATATTTCTAGCTTTCTCTTATGCTTTAGTTTGTCCTGATTAACTGTATCATCATTCTCTGCTGTTCTTTGTATTCTGACTAATCATCTGACCTGCCAGTCTCCTTTGTGCAATTATATGCTTTTTCCCTATGTTTGATACTCTCCTTAATTGGCTTACTTAACAGTGGAAGGTGGATCCTCCCCCTGAACTTTATCCTTATAGTAAGAATATAATTTTTTTTAAGTATTCTGAAATATTTCTTTAACCTGAGATCAGCCATCTCAGACTGCACAGAAAACCTGGGACTTTCCGCCTTACTTTTGTCTTTACTGGGCACATTTCTGATAAATAGCAAGTTTTTAGTTGGTAAATAGTCCTCAAATCTATGACTGTCTGTATTCTATACAGTTTAGAGGTTTGCGGAAATAGTTTTCCTGTGGCCTGGTCCCTGTGAGGAAGGAGTTAATCTTTCAGCACTATCAGTGTTTCTGCACCTGAAGCTATCAGGTGATGCTGACGGTTGAAAAAAACAGGCTCAAGCGTGCAGATGCAATGTGAACAGCCATATGTTTTCGCAGTTTGAACAAAAATATCTTGAAAATGGTAAACTAATAGTTTCATTTTTTTGACCTGTTTACATAGTGAATGTTAATGTAAAGGGAGCTGTTTGGGAGAAGTTGCTGAAGGAGCTGGACTACAAAAGAGGCCCACCCACTGGCTTGCAACTGAAAGCCATGCTCACAGGAAGTGCAGGTTGGAAAATCAATGTTACTGTGTATGTCTGACCCACCAATCTTGCTTGAATGGTTTTTATGCTGGGAGCATAGTTCTGAGAATTGATGTAATTACATTGTTGCCCCATCTTTAACCTGTCATCCCTACAACATGGTTTAGCTGCCGGGAGTGAGGAAAGGATTTACGGAGTCCTGCTGTATATCTAATCTACAGTCTTTTGAGCAGGGCTTGCTCAATGGGAGGATGTGATTGCGGAATTAACTGCGCAATGTTAATCCAGGCTGCTTTGCTAATTTTGCCCTATCAGCTAGCAAACCCGTACTCTGCTTTAATAGTGTAACCCCCTTTCTGATTTCCAACATTGATGCTATAGATTCGCTGTTTGAAAGGCAGTAATTGTCTGCATAATTGCAAACATGGAATTGTGCCAACTTTTATCCCAAGAACCTCCCTTAGACTAAAGTCTCTCTGACAAGCCTTAGGCTTCGAAAACACACAAACTTGGTGTCACTAATTAGTACAGTATTTCATGATTTATGACTAACAGACAGTAATGTGCATTTGAGTCCAAGGTCAGATCAGCAAGATTGAATGGAAGGTAGAGCAGACTTGAGAGGCTATATGTCTGTTCCAATTTGAAGGGATTGGATGGAGATTCTCAAAATTATAAAGGGAGTGGACAGGGTAGACAGGAAAAAACTGTTTGTGTTCATGGAAGGATCAAGAAACAGAGTGCTGATCTAAAAGGGGATAAACCTTGTTTTATGCAGTCAGTGTTTAGGACCTGGAATGTACTTTCTGTGAATATGCTGAAGGCAGATTCAATCCTGGAATTCAAAATAGAATTGGGTAATTATATGTTGAGGAGAACAAAAGAGTTACCAGCCTATAGAGTAAAGGTAGGAAAGTGGTATGTGGTAAGTTGTTCTTGCAGACAGCTGGAGCGGACATAGTGGGCTAAATGGCCTCCTTCTATAGTGTAACCATTCTAAAATTCAATGCAGCATGGTTTGATGTGTGATATCTCTACTACTTCTCCTTGTTTTACCCTTGCAGACATCCTGTACTATACATTGTGGACCTTCAATCTATTTCTTTTTTAGATTGGTAAAACTGGTAAATTTAGCAATTAGAATTTGAAGTAAACCTGTGAAAGATTAAAGAACAGGATAATTTTCATTTCCACTGTCCCTTGACTTTGGATTTTTTTCCAAACCATTCTCACCATTCTTATTGAAGTACCTGGTAACTGTGTCTCTCCCTATCCCTGTATATCTGACACTCCCACTGTGGCTCAGTTGGTAATGCTGTCACCTCTGAGTCAAAAAGTCATGGGTTCAGTAAAAAGTGTAGTCTAGAAATGCAAATGCAGTACTAAAGAGGTGCTTCACTGTCAGAGTTGCCATTTTCTTGGCTGAGGAAACAAACTGAGGACTCGCCTGTCCTCGCAGATGGACCTGAGTCCTGAATTGACTGTAAAGTGCTTTGCTGCACCCTGGAAAGCACTATTTAAATCAATTATTTGAGTTAACATGTAACTCTTATCAGGTCTTGGTGTCTGTTGATATAGATTTGTTACTGCACTATATTTGGATTCTCTAATTGTCATTGGACGCTGATCAGTAAAAGCTCTGTTTGGGCTGTCCTTCCAAATATAACAAACTTTGCCTGTGCCCACCACTTCAGCTGTTTAGATTGCTCCTAGTAGCTGTGCAGGAAGATTATTTCAAGGCATAGGCTTGTATTTTTCCTGTTTGCTGATCTGTAATATTCTCCCAATCTCCGCTGATGTTGTTGGCTCTTGCTGAGATATAATTACATGGGTATCATCCATCTTTTGGTAACTTGACCAAGTGTTCATTCAGTATAAAGCTGGACTATGAGTGTTGACAAGCCTTGGAAGATTTCACAACTGGAAGATTTCCAATCCAGTCCTCCCAGGGGCTGGATTCTGACTGTATGATAATGTGAAATGGCTATTGCTGAATTATTTCTTGTTTATCATTTGCCTGGATGTAAATGTAAAATGGGCTGTAAACAAGTTAGAGAACAACTTGCATTTATATAGCACCTTTTTAATGAGGTCAAACATCCCAAGATGCTTCACAGGAGTGTTATATTAAAAAAAATGATTGCAAGCCACTCAAGGCAACGTTGGGAAAGGTGACTGAAAGTTTGGTCAAAGATAGAGGTTTATAAGTGGTGTAAAGGAAAAGAAATTTGAAGGAATTCCAGAGCTCAGGCCCAAACAGCTGAAGGTATTGGAAAGTTGAAGGAAATCGAAAGTCTGTAAGAGCCTGGAATCAGAGGATCACAGGACATGAAGAGCTTCTAGAGATCAAGAGGGGTGAGGTCATGACGGGATTTTCAAACAAAGATGTGAATTTTAAAATCAAGGCATTGTCAGGCAGTGTAGACTAATTCATTGTATTCAATTTCGTTATTTTAGAATGTCAACATCTACCTCCATAGTGTCCACGCACTTGCACTTTCCAGCTGTGATAGGAATAAAGGACGTAGGAACAGGAGTGGGCCATTCAGTCTGTTGAACCTGTACCAACTTTCAATATGTTCGTGGCTGATTGAACGCATCAATGCCTTTTACCCACCCATCACCATAACCCTGAATGCCACTAGTAATCAGAAATTTATCAGTCTGTACCTTAAATATACTCCAAAACTGAGCTTCCATAGACCTCTGTGGTAGACTATTCCAAAGGTTCACAACCCTCAGAGGCAACACATTTCTCCTCATCTTGAACATAAGTGACATCGACTTTATTTTTAAATTATGTCCCCTGGTTTTAGACTCTCCAACCAGGGCAAACATCTTAATTGCATTTACCCAGTCTATCCCTTTTACGTATTTTGGAAGTTTCAATGAGATCACCTCTCATTCTTTGAAGCTCTGGAGAATACAAGTTCAGTCTGCTCAAGCTCTCTTTGTAGGGCAGTTACACCATCCCTGGAACTAGTCTGATGAACGTTATTACACTCCCTCTATGGCAGTAATATCTTTCCTGAGATAAGGAGACCAAAACCGTCTGGTACTCCAGGTGTGGTCTAACCAAACTCCTATACAATTGAAGCAAAACTTCACTACTCCTGTATTCAAATCCTCTTCAATAAAGGCTAACATTCCATTGGCCTTCAGTGACTTATCAACAAGGACACTTAGATCCTTTTATACATCTGCACTTTCCAATCTCTTACCATTTAAAAAAATATTCTGCATGCTCTGTGTGGATTACCTCACATTTTTCCAGATTGTATTACATCTGCCATGTTCATGCCTGTTCGCTAAGCCTGTCCAAATCCTCCTGAAGTCCCTTTACATTTTTCTCCTAACACGAGTTCCCACTTAGCTTTGTATCATTCGTAAATTTAGAAATATCACGTTTGGTGCCCATCTTCAAATGATTGATGTATGTTGTGAAAAACTGGGGCCCAAGTTCTGACACTGGCAGTACCTCAGTAGTCACAGTATGCCACCATGAGAGTGACCTATTTATTCCTATTTTTTGTTTTTTGTCTGTTAGCCAATCATTAATCCATGTCAGTTCATTACCTCCCATGTGCTTTAATTTTTTTTTAACTGGTGTCCTGTGGGGTCATTATCAAAAGCCTTCTGAAAATCTAATTGAACCATGTCAATCGTCTTTATCAATTCTTTTAGGTGACGTCTTCAAAAGAAAACTCCAAATAAGTTCTTCAAACATGATTGCTTAGTCACAAATACATGTTGATCATTGTCAACCAGGTGTCTATTTATCCCATGCTTTGTAATAGATTTCAACATTTTCCCTACTACTGACACAATTCCCTGTTTTTTCCTGCACACTTTTCTTAAATAGTCAGATGATGTTTGCTACTTTCTAATCTACAGGAACCATTACAGAATCTATAGAATTTTGAAGGTGATTACCAGTGAATCAACCACCGTCTTTCTGTAGTCACCTTCTTCAGCAGTCTAGATGTGGACTGTCAGGTCCTGGAGATTTATCATCTTTTAGCCTCATTAATTTGCAGGACAATCTTCTTACTAATGCAAATTTCCTTCAACTCCTCATTCTCTCAAGCCATATGGATCTCTAGTTCTGGAAGATTTCTGGAATTTTCCTCAGTGAAAACAGACACAAAGTAAACATTTTGCTTCTCTGCCAATTTCCTATGCCTCAGTACAAATTCTCCTCACTTGACCTGTAACGGACCCATATTCGTTTAAGTTAAATGTTTCCTTTTTAAGAACATATAGAGGTTTACAGTCTGCTTTTGTTTTTTGCTAGATTAGATTCATATTCTGTTTTCCATTTCCTTATCAATTTCTCAGTCTTCCTTTGTATTCTGTGTGCCTCCCAATCCTCAGAGTTATTGTTATTTCTGACAACTTTATGTGCCTTACCTTTTTAATCTTCTACAATCCTGAACTTCTTTTGTTGCCTATGGTTTACTGATTTTTTTTTCAGTTTTTGCACCTTAAAGAATATGTAGTTGTTGTATGTCATGTCCTATAAAACTATCCATTGCCAATTTTCCCAATTTTCTGCTTTCTAAAATCTATTTTCCTAATCACCTCAGCCAATTTGTGCATTGTGCCTTCATAATTTCCTTTATTCAAATTATACACCCTTGCTTCAGAATCAATTACTTCACTTTCAGACATAGAATTTTACATTATCATATTGTGGTCATTCATACCTGCAGGTTCTGTTACATCAAAATAATTAGTTAGCTCTTTTTCATTACATAATACTAGATCTAAAATAGCATGACCTCTGGTTGGGTCCTCAATATACAGCTTTAGAAAACCATCTCTAAGACACTGTCTATAAATTTGTCTTCTACAGCTTTAGTGCTCAATTGGTTTACCCAGTCGACATGCAGATTGAAGTTACCCATTGTGACTATGTTACCCATGCTCCATGCTTCCCTCATCTCCTGATTTCCTCATACCACTACAATTTGATGGCCTATAAATAGCTCCACCTAACGTCTAATGCCCCTTGCTGTTTCGTTGTTCGACCCAAACAGATTCCATACATTGTTCTTCTGATCTGAGATCCTCTTTTACTGATGTACTGATCCTATCTATTATTATCATTGTAGCACCATCTCCTTTTCCTTTTATCTGGCTTTCCTAAACTTTGAATATTCTTGACTCTTCAGTTCCTGGTCCTGGTCACCATGCAGTCATGTTCCTGCAATGGCAATTAGAACATATCCATTTATCTCTATTTGTGTCTTTAGATCCTCTACTTGTTGCAAATGCTATATATATTCAGATAGAGTGCCCTTAACTTTGATTTTTTTGACATCATTTCGTTTTCAAAGCATATTCAATGCTCAGCTATGTTTTTCCTGTTTTCTAGTTACTCTAATATATATTACAACTTCCTGTTACCAACTTTACCTTCTTCCAATTTTGGTTATCGCTCAGATTTTTGGCCTTTTGACAGGTGAGTTTAAACCCACCCTAACCACAGTAGCATATCCCCTTGCAAAGGAATAGGTCTCAGTCCTGTTAAACGGGCAACACCACACTAGAGCAGCACAGAACTATGGACATAAGGAGATAAGGAGAAACTTCTTCAGCCAGAGAGTGGTGAATCTATGGAACTCACTGCCTCAGAAGGCTGTGGAGGCCAGGTCACTGAGTATATTTAAGACGGAGATAGATTGGTTCTTGATTGTCAAGGGGATCAAAGGTTACGGGGACAAAGCAGGAGAGTTTGTACAGGTCCCACCTGCTCCAGAATCTGTCCCTGTTCTTCAAAAATCTGATCTTATCCCTCTTACAGCAGTTCTCCAGGCATGTATTCTATCAATCAATCCCCCTGTACTTATGCTCACAGCATGTGACACTGGGAGTAATCCTGAGATTACTGCTCTTGAGGTCCTGCTTTTTAATTTGTTTCCTAACTCGGGTCCTAACCCTCTTCCTACCTATGCCATTGGTACCAATGTGGACCACGATTTCTGGCTGATTCCCGCTTTCCTAGAAGGATGTCGTGCGGCTGCACCATGACCATAAGACATGGGAGTAGAAATTAGGCCATTCAGCCTATCGAGCCTGCTCTGCCATTCCATTATGGCTGATAAGTTTCTCAACCCCATTCTCCTTATCTCCGATCTAAAAGGTCTTCCCTTTACTGTAAGGCTGTGCCCTTGGGTCCTAGTCTCTCCTACCAATGGTAACATCTTCCCAACATCCACTCTGTCCAGACCATTCAGTATTCTGTAAGTTTCAATTAGGTAACATCATCAGTGCAGCCTCCGATGAAGCACTGTTGTGTTTTCCCACCTGTCATTTAAACTCTGGTGTCCATAGTTCTGTGCTGCTCTAGTGTGGTGTTGCCCGTTTAAATTACTACGCCAAAAAAAAGAAGAATACCTCTTCCAAGTATTCAAGAACAGTGGATACCCGAAAAACTGGGTCAGAAGATGCCTATCACACACCTGACACCAGGAAGATACAGCACGTCCCAACACACTCACCACGCTACCTTACATCGGGAACACATCTGAACTGACCGCAAGACTCCTACGACCACTGGGCATCAGAGTCGCACACAAACCCACATCAATCCTATGCCAACTGCTCGCCCGGATCAAAGACCTATTACCCACTATGGACAGGACCAATGTCATATACAAGATGTGTGTCATATACAAGATTCCTCGCAGAGACTGCGACAAACATTACATTGGACAAACAGGAAGGAAATTAACCACAAGGGTACACAAACATCAACTGGCAACAAAAAGACATGACCATTACTCACTCATCTCTATCCACATGGATAACGAGAACCACCAATTTGACTAGGACAACACCAAGATCCTGGGACAAGCAACGCAGAGACAAGCACGGGAATTCCTAGAAGCCTGGTACTCCACAAAGAAAGTAATCAACAAACACATAGAGATCGACCCCATGTACACTCCATTACGAAGGAAAACCAGAAGTGAGGTAATCCAACTCAGCGGACACCAGAATTTAAATGACAGGTGGGAAAACACAACAGCGCTTCATTGGAGGCTGCACTGATGTTGCCCGGCAGGGTAACAACACGTCTGTGGAAAAACGAACCAGCTTGACGAGCCAACCAACCACAAGCTCAATAAAATTGAAGGACTCTTGCATGACCTATATGGTTTTCTTTAACTATCTCGTAGTCATCCTGTCCCTCTCTGCCTATATGCTCCTAATCTGTGGTGTGCCCACCTCTCCTATATGTGCTATCCATGTAGTCTTCTAACTGCCTCTATCATATAGTTACCTGTTTAACTAAGCTGTTTTAGCTTCCTTAAAGGCTATTGGTTCTTGTTCTGATTCTGATTTTTACTCCATAATTAAACTTGCAAAAGAGTTTCCAATTGAATTCCCACTTTGATCCGAATTCCCTGATACTCAGTGTATCTCAGTCTCATTCCAACGAAGGCTGCCTCACTCTGTACAATTTACTCTGTACACTGGATAATGTCCTGGATGCTACCTTGTTCACCCATACCCCAGCAGTAGTCTCAGTAGTGCTGAGACCAATTGTAGCATGTTTACAGTTGCCCTAATTGAAAAATATAGTGGGCCAGAGGTCAGTTCTGAGTGTGGTGTTTAAGCCTTTGCCATCCGTTATGTATGGGAAGCAGGCTTATACTTTATCAAGCTGTTGTGCATGTCCACACCCAGACTGTAGTGAGGAAGTTTCAGTGAGGAAATCTGAACTTTTGTGCTGTTTCTCTGCAGGGCTTTTACTTGCCATTGCCTGTCAGTGCCACTTGGATGAGGAAGTGAGGAAAGAGCTCAGTTGCAGCAACTCTGGGTAGTAACCCAGTCGGTGCAATATCAACTTCAAGCAAGTAGTTGGCTAAACATTAAATTGGAGGCCTGCAGGTGAGATATATTAGCTGCTTCTCCACCTAAGTCACAATTACTCACTGGTGTTGCAAAAGTATGACTATTATTAGTTGAATGAATGATACTGACATGTCTACTTTTGCATTTTTATACTTGTCAACAGCAAGAGTTTTCACGACAATGATAGTGGGGCTTAACGGGTTAAATTATGATGACGGGTTGCATAAACTTGGCTTTTATTCTCTTGAGCAGAAGATTGACAGGTGATCTGATTGAGGTATTGCAAGGAGGAGAAATATAGAATTAGGGATGTTTTGCTGTAGTAGTTTGGGATGTGGGTTGTCATAGCTGAATGCTGTGTATAATTTTGGTCTCCTTATTTAAGAAAGGATATAACTGAATTAGAAGCAGTTCAGAGAGGGTCCATTTGCCTGGGGTGGTTGTTTTATGAGGAAGGATTGGACAGGGTTGGCATGTATCCATTTAGAAGAATGGAGGATTCGTACTGAGACATAAGATCTTAGAGGACTTGACAGGGGAATGCTGAAATGATCTTTCTATCTTTCTGGAAGAGACTAGAACTAGGGCATACAGTTTTACAATAAGGGGTCTTCCACTCAGACAGATGAGAAGAATTTTTTTCTGAGGGTTGAGAGTCTTTGGCAGAATGTGATGGAGACAAAGTGATTGAATATTTTAAAGCAGAATCAGGATAGCCTCTTGACTAACAAGGGAGTCAATGATTAGGCAGGAGCGTGAAGTAGATGCCACGGTCAGATCAAAATCTTATTGAATGGCAGAGTAGGCTCGGGTCTGAATGGTCTACACCTGCCCTTAATTCATTTATTTTTATTTGCAATATTAAAAACATTGATAGGGTAGATGCAGACAAATCATTTCTTCTGGTGGAGAAAATAACAGCTAATGTTTGAATTAAAATTGCCTAATAAAACGTTTAGTAGCAAACTCAAGCACTTTTTCCACACAAAAATAATTGGAAGCCTGGAACACCCTCTAAAAGACCGTGTACAATGGTGTCAGGTGGGATACATCAGTTGGAGCTTTTCAATATTGCATTTAATGGGTTTTGATGAAGGAAGGAATATGGAGCAGTGGTGGGAAATGGAGTTAAGCTACAGATCAATCACGCTCTAATTGAATGTCAGGGTATATTCAAGGATCTGACTGGCCTCCTTCTGTTCTATAAACTGAAGAAAGCTTTCAAAATTGTTTTATTTTTCTTTTATTCCTATCTGGGGGTCTGGACTTTTGATTACAAAATAGACTCCATGGACTTGGCAGATGATCAGTGTCTCGTCTAGCTCAGGCAATCTAAGGATGTAGGCCTAAACGGTAAATATCAGCAGGACATTATCCACACAAGTGATGCAGCAGTGTCACACCTCTGCCCAATCTATTTCTCAGCAAACAAAGAAACTAAAGAACTGCAGATACTGGAAATCAGAAACAGAAACTGCTGGAAAAGCTCAGCAGGTCTGGCAGCATTTGAGGAGGGAAAGCAGAATTAATGTTTTGGGTCCAGTTCTGAAGAAGTGCCACTGGGCCCAACATGTTAACTCTGCTCTGTCTGCACAGATGCTGCCAGACCTGCTGAGTTTTCCCATTCCTTAGTACTCCATATGTCGGTATCCTCTCCTGCCCAACTCAAAGCTTCAGGATCAGAAACCCCAAAGGAATTCACAAAAGTCCCTTCCCTTAGCCAAGGAAGTTGAAACTAATCGAGGCTGCTTTAACTGCTTCCTGGGCTGAGAGCTAACTAACTAAACTTGTTCTCTATTTGACTAAAATATCCCATATCTGAGATAAATTGGTGAATGCTGTCAGACTTTGCAATGGGAGTTGGAGGTTTGCAAAGATGGTTTCAGGAGAGGCTCCTTTCAATTGAATTTGCTTTAAATGCTGTGTTTCGTTAAGCATGATACATTGTTCTGAAATGATCGAGTACACCGAAAGATTGTAGCATCAATGTGAAAATCATCTCAATTTAATTTTTAAGTTTTGCTCTGACAGATGTTACGCCGATTCTTCAACTGAAAACAAAATGATGAAAGACCAAGAAGAGGAGGTAAGAATTGCTTCCTGAAATTTTCGCCACTTTAAAGGTTTTGGTGAATGCTAGCACCTGTCCTCCAGCATCCCATCTGAGTCGTTACTTCTTCATTAGTGAGCTCAGATCATGAGAATCAGCAACCTGTGAATAAAACAGTGCCGATCAGGAACAGAGTGGAGCTGTTCCTTTGAAAAAGGCAAGGTTGAGGGATAACCACCTAGAGACCTTTTAGGATTGATACAAAAGCTGCAGCAACAATGTCTTATTCTGTGGGTAGGTCTAAAATTAGGGATCCTGACTATAAGATAGCAATTAAGAAAATCCAATAATCAGGGAAAAAAGACTCTTCAACCCAACTCATCCATGCCAACCAGATTTCCTAAACCGAGCTGGTCCTAGTTGCCTGCTTTTGGCCCATATCCCTTTCAACCTCTCCTATCACTGTACTTGTCCAAATATCTTTTTAAATGTTGTAATTGTGCTCAACTCTACCACTTTCTCTGGCAGCTCATTTCATATATGCAGCACCCTCTCTGTGAAAAAGTTGCCCCTCGGGTCCTTTTAAATCTTTCCCTTTTCATCTTAAACCTATGCCGTCTAGTTTTGGACTCCCCTATCCTGGGGAAAAGACGTTGGCGATTCACCTTATATATGCCCCTTATGATTTTATAAACCTCCATAAGGTCATCCCTCAGCCTCCCACATTCCAGGGGAAAAGGTCCCAGTCTTGGTAATATCCTTGTAAATCTTTTTTGCACCCTTTCCCGTTTAATAACATCCTTCCTATAACATTGGCAATCAGAATTGTATGCAATACTCCAAATGTGGCCTTAGCAATGTCTTGTACAACCGTAACATGACATCCCAACGCCTGTACTCAGTGCTCTGACCAATGATGTCATCTGTAAATTTACTAACCATGTCTCCTATATTCTCGTCTGAATCGTTTATATAAATTTAGGGTCAACTGCTGTTCGTTATTGATCTTTGCAGAACACCATTGGTCACAGGCCTCCAGCATGCAACAACAAACTTGTACCATTGCCCTCTGTCTCCTACTGACCAGCCAACTTTGGATCCAATTGGCTAGCTCTCCCTGGATCTCGTTTGATCTAACCTAGCTAACCAGTCTACCATGCGGAATCTCATCTAAGACCTTGTTAAAGTCCATGTGGACAATGTCTGCCACTCTGTCTTCATCTATCTTCTTGGTCACTTCTTCAAAAAACTTGATCAAGTTAGTGAGACACGATTTCCCATGCACAAAGCCATGCTGACTATCTGTAATCAATCCTTGCATCTCCAAATGCATGTAGATCCTGTCTGTCAGAATCTCCTCCAATAACTTACCCACCACTGACATCAGACTCACTGGTCTGTAGTTCCCTGGCTTTTCCTTGCAGCCTTCCTTAAATATGGCACAACTTTAACCACCCTCCAGTCTTCCGACACCTCACCAGTGGCTGTTGATGATACAGATATCTCTGCTAGGGGCTCGGCAATTTCTTCCCTAGCTTCACACAACATCCTGGAATACACTTGATCAAGTCCCGGGATTTATTTACCCTTATGCGTTTTAAGATCAACGGCACCTCCTCTTCTGTAATGCGGACTCACTTTACTTACTCTTTCCACTTTTGGATACTTGTAGAAAGTCTTATTGCCTGTTTTTACATTTCTAGCTAATTTTCTCTCCTGCTTTAGTTTATTTGTCCTGATTTAAACTTTTAGTTATTCTGTGCTATTCTTTGTATTCTTACCAGTCATCTGACCTGCCACTCACTTTTGTGCCATTATATCCTTTTTCCTCAAGTTTGATACGTTCCTTAACTTGTTTAAGTAACTCCGGATTCTGCGTCCTCCCCTTGGTAACTTTCTTTATAATAAGAACGTAATTATTCTGAAATGTCCCTTCTACATATCTATCATTGTTTCTCTGCTAATCTATCACCTAGACTAATATACCAGCTAATTTTAGCTAGCTTACTTTTCTTGCCCACCTAGGTGCCCTTTCTTTTGTTGAAACACTAGGTCATTCATTAATCCTGTCACATTACACAGTACCAAGTCTAGCATGGTCTCCTTTCTGGTAGCCCCCGAAAACGATGCTTGAAGAAACTGTTTCAAAAGCATTCTGTGAACTCCTCCTCCAAGCTATTATTAACCTGAATTTTCCAGTGTATATGTGGATTAAGTCACCATAATTATTGATTAGGTTTGTCTCAATTTCCGTAATCAGCTTTGAGTGATACGTTATTCAAGTGTTTGTTGCAATTTTAGAGTTGACTGGTTATGGCCAAGTTCTGCCTGTTGTTGGGAACTTCCATACCAGCCATGAAAATCAGGTAGTGTTCTACAAAGCCACTCAGTTTGTGACATGTTTCACATGTTATGTTTGGTAGGAATTCATCACTGTGCGAGTGCAGGATCCAAGAATCCAAGACCAGAATTCCTGGGCTGCTTATGTAGATTATAAAATATTTCTTTACGTAAGTATTATACAGTGCATGTAATTTACTTGGATGTGTTTTAATTTTTACATTTTTGGCATCATTATGTTATAGAAGGTGGCCATTCAACCCATACATTTATGCTGGCTTTTTATATTGAAATCAGTCAGACCAATGTGCCCATTTTATCCTTGTGTCGCTACACATTGATGTTCCTCATGTGCCCATTTTGAAATCATTCATTGTCCCTGCTTCCACAACCCTCACAGGCAGCAAGTTCCATGTCCTTAACATTCTCTCTATTAAAATCGTCTTCCTCTGTATCTCTTACCCAAAACCTTAAATCCATGTCTTTTGATCCATGTATCATCAGTTAATAGAAGCAGCTTTTTATTTTCTACCTTGCCCAAGCCTATCATAATCCTGTACACCTCTATCAAAGCTCTCCTCAATCTCCTTTAATTCAAGGGTAATAACTTCAACTTCTCCAACCTAACAAAAACCCCTCATCCCTGGAACTATTTTTGGTAAATCTCTTCTAAACTTTTCAAGTATCCTCACATCTTTTCTAAACTGGTCATCAGAAAGCAATACTGTATTCCTATTGTGGCCTAACCTAAGTTTTATAAAGGTTCAGCAGAAAATTGCATAGACAGGCGGTTGGGGTCACCTATTTAAGACAGCGATGAAGATACATCTTTTTCACTGAGGGCTGAGTCTTTGGAATTCCTGTCGTCAAAAGGTGGTGAGTGCAGCATCTTTAAATATTTTTTAAGGAAGAGGGAGATCTTGATTACCAAAGGGATGAAAAATTATGGAGGAACGTTAAGGTTAAATCAGATCAGCCATGATCTTATTGATTGGCAAAGCAGGCTACAAAGGCCAAATGGCCTACTCTAGTTAAAAGCCGAAAGTACTGCGGAATCTGTAAATCAGGAACAAAAACAGAAGTTGCTGGAAAAGCTCAGCAGGGTCTGAGGAAGGGTCACTGGACCCGAAACATTAACTCTGATTTTTTTTCTTCACAGATGCTGCCAGACCCTGCTGAGCTTTTCCAGCAACTTCTGTTTCTGACCTACTCGAGTTCTTTGTTTGTAGGTTCTTAAGAGGCTTGAGTGGTTGAATGGCCTTCTGTTACTTTACTGGAATCTTCTCATGCTGTCTCTAGCCTTGTGTCACTTTGGAATGTGTTCGCAGACTGGTCCAAGATCTCTGCCAAACTACAAGATGGTCACTAGGCACCAAACAAATGCAGCCCAGATATAGACACCTTTTTAGTTTTTCTTCTGTGGGGATCCCTTGGTGTCTCTTAGGACCAGCCAGCAGTGTTTTTCTTTTCCATTTCATGCGTGCTTGTGTGTGCACCTGTTAGCATTGCTACTGACCCTATTCTGATATCTTCATTTAAAGCACTCAGTAAAACAGGAACATTGTCTGTCATGACTCCATGACTCAACTTGTTTTTTTTTCCAGAAATTGGAGAGGTCAGTTGGGTGGCCCTTCCTCATAGGTTTGTTGTCGCTCAACTAATTCCAGACACCATGCACTCTCCACCCAGTCACTGTTTAAGAAGCCTCAACAGGGGTCAACAGCAGAATGAGCAATTCTCACCAGTCATGTGATTTCTAGCAAACCTAATTTTAAAAGAAAAGTTTCAATGTTCACAGTGACGCTTCAATTGCCTCTTTCAGACAACTACTCCAGGTGTTTCCCCAAAATTTGAAATACACTTTTCCATAATCCTCCAAAACATAAGACATCCAAGAGATATTAAATGTAGAGTATGCCCATGACAATGGCGGGAGAGACAAGATTGTTACTGTTTGTCAGCCAAAAACAACCAAAGTTAGCTGAAAGGCCTTTTGCTGTTTTGTTTCAGACAAATAGTAAGGCTTTTACAGTAAAGACTTCCTGTGTGCGGAGACGATATCGTGAATTTGTATGGCTGAGGCGTCAGCTCCAGAAGAATGCTGGATTGGTGTAAGTACCATTCCAAATACAACTACTACGCGCAATGCACAGAGCATTGGAATTACCCACCGTGAGCTAAACACACAACAGGGCACAATTCGCAAACAGAATCCCCTAAAAATGCATGGCTGTCTTGTGAGTAATCCTGGGATCATGCCTGCTGAGCATCACTGACTCTGCTGGTTCTTGAGCTGCCTTTGGAAGGACAACTTGCTTGACACCTCATGATGTCAACCAAGGCCCTGACAGGGCCATGGGATCCTTTACATCTGTTAATGTCTCATCGGAAAGGTAACACTTCTGATAGTGCAGTACTCCATGTATGTGTCAATTTGGAATTTACATTCAAGTCTCTGAAATGGAACTTGAATCTATCACAGTCTTAGTTTGGGTGCAAAACTGACCCAATCTACAGGTGAAAAATGACCAATTTTATTCACAGTTTGAATTTGCCAGGCAGAACCCTTGCATTGTTCTTGAAGACTTCCACAGACTTTGAAAGCCCTGTTGACATTGAATATGACAATTTGTTAGAAATGGGTAGTGGCCTAAATTAGAGCTACCATTCCTGTGCACTACTGTATTCCCCACAATCCCAGTCTTTCGTTCTGTTATGGACCAGACCAAACCCACTCAAAATATATTAAGAAGATAGCCTAGACCCTAACTTTTTCTTACTTTAAAGATCATGTAAAGTGTTGCATTCCAGATGCAATCCAATTAGTCAAACTACTTGACTTTAAGCAAAAAACACTTTGTATTTTAACTGTAGTGTGAAAATAGACAAAATAAAAATAAAAGAATTGGTTTAACTGTAACTCTATTGAATGTTTAACAAAATATATATATTAACTACTATTAATTGACTGTTCCTATATAGTAATATCCCATAAATGCACAATTGGCAAAGGCAAATTCAGTAAAATAGATTGTCTCATGCAATTCTAGCAACAGGAAGAGAACCCCAGCTTTTAGCTGTAACAGAGAGAGCAATAAGAGCATCCACATCGAGCTTCGAGACCCCAGCAACTGCAGAAAGCTAAAACTAAAAAATATCTTGATTCTATGGGAGCTTGACCCCACCCACTCAGGCTGCTTCCATTGTTCCAACATTTTTTTTAAAAAAGCCCCAAGGCCTCATAAGCTGTTTACTTTATTGGCTTTGAGCAGACCGCTGGGCACCTCTGTCTCAACCTTTCTTCATACAAAAAAAGGACAAAACACGCCTCTTAAAGCCATAGTATTGTCACACTTCTCATTCCTGGACCTAGTACTTTTACACTCCAGCCCTCCTGCTGTTACGTTTTTTCATTTTCAATTTCAAATATTCATCCTAATGTCACTTATTAGTGACTCGGCTCTCAGTCCATTCATTTAGCATTTGACTCTTTGGGAGGAACATTCTGATATTAATTAAAACCCGAAAGAACTGCAGATGCTGGAAATCAGAATCAAAAACAGAAATTGCTGGAAAAGCCCAGCAGGTATGGCAGCACCTGTGGAGAGAAATCTGAGTTAACGCTTCAGATCCAGTTCTGAGGAAGGGTCATTGGACCGGAATGTTTACTGTGCTTTCTCTCCTTGGATGCTGCCAGACCTGCTGAGCTTTTCCAGCAATTTCTGTTTTTGATTCTGATATTAATGTCTTAATTAATAAGTTTGCCCCACACTCTTTAGCTAAAATATAAAGAATCGTCTGTTGCTTTTGTTTTCACAGACCCCTCCCAGAGCTACCAGGCAAGAAACCATTTTTCCAAGTTAATGACATTGAAAGCATAGAGAGAAGACGACAAGGTTTGCAGCAGTTTCTGGAAAAGTAAGTGCAGTGAGACGATTTAATTACAATTGACTTGATCTGCGTTACAGAGGAGCTATTGTTGAGTGTTCATGTTTTGTTTATATTTCCAGCTCTCTATTTCTGTGGCAGGGTTTGATTCTCCACAGATTAATGCAGATTTCCAATTATGCTTCCTGTATGAACAGGCAGTGATAGGCTAGTGAACCACAGAGTGATTGGAGATCATTGCTGAGTCCAAACTTGTTTTCCACTCTTCCTCCCCATCATTCAAACGTGCACATCAGGGATTTGTGGATACTGATAACGTCTCTGTGTGTGGTCATTGCCGTTCTGGGTGAGAACTGCCAACTTTGCTTGGCTCAGGGATTGCCTGACATTTTATACAACAGATATTATTATTGTCAGAGAGGGAGAATTTATCCTTTCCTTTGTCTGCCCAACAGTTTTTCTCTCTCTCTCGCTCGCCTCACTGTCTCTGGGCTTCATGTCCACTGACCTTTTATTCCATTCCCCCCCACCTCCCAATCTTCAGCATATATATCAGCCTTTTCCTAGCTCCATTCAGTCCCTGTTCTCAAAACAGTAATTCAGATTTCTCTCCACAGAGGCTGCCAGACCTGTTAGTTTTTCCAGCAATTTCTGTTTGGGTTTCTGATTTCTGGCATCCACATTTCTTTTGTTTTTTTCGCTGATGGGAAAGGGTTTGGTGTAAAGACTGAAGACAGTGGCTTAAATCCAAATGTTTGAATCAGGACTAAAATGCTAGCGAATAAACTAAACTGAAAGTTAGTTTAAATGAGCATTCCCTGATCATGTTGGGTTAATGTGACATGAACATGCACTTAATACTTTATTTGGAGATTGAATTCCTGGAGTCCTGACCTACCATAAGGCTTTTGGCACTCACTCTGTCCCAAATCTCCAGGGAAGTCGCTATTAGCATGAATGGGGCCAATTTGGGGAGTTCCCTGGTTCTCTGCTCCACTGGGAACCAAGAGTATCGGCAGGCTTTTTCAGTGATAGCCACAGCCTTTGAAAAGATTGCTGACATGGAACACATTGCTTTATCAGAATTGCGTGCTGACTCAGATCTTCAGGACGAATTACCATTTCCCCACCATGCCCTAATCTCTCAACTCTTTTCTCTTTTCTCCCCTCATCATCATTCTCTTCCCACTTTGTTCAGGTCACAGCCTCCTGCTTGTGTTACGGTATTAAACAATCACCCCTGTAATTGCCCTATTTCAATACCAAGGAGCTGTGTGCTATTTGATCTGTATTATCTATTTTGATTTCAGTAATAATTACTAAAAAATAGTACTTTGAAGTTAAAGGGATGTGAATTGAGTTTTCAGTTGTTTTATTTGCTGTTTGGGGCACCATCTAGTGGCAGACTCTGGTAGCATGACCTGATGTTCATAACCACCGGCTCTGGGTCTAAGCTTTGGACTGAATCTTACCAGAAATCAGTAAGGGTCATTTTCGTCGAGATTCCTGGAGGGTTTCTCTCTGTGAGGTCTAGTGAGTTTTCTCATGCTATTGTCCCAAAATTGCCTCATTAATTCTATGCCACGTCTTGTGGTGCCCCTCCCATCCTGCACTAGCCCAACAATTTGTCTCCCCGTAGGTGAAAGAACTTGCCACTAGGCCATCCAGGGATTCCAGGCGCTGACACATATTTGAAAGGCCATTTTGCACCCGGACAAAAGTCTGGCAGTCTGGATATTCCCCACCCTGGTTGGCAAACACGGTGACTCAGTGGTCAGCACTGCTGCCTCACAGCGTCATGGACCCCAGTTTGATCCGACCCTTGGGCGACTCTCTGTGTGGAGTTTGCACATTCTCCCTGTTTCTATGTGGGTTTCCTCCGGATGCTCTGGTTTTCCTCCCAGAGACCAAAGATGTGCAGGTTAGATGGATTGACCATGGGAAATTGTCTGTCATGTCTAAGGATGAGCAGGCTAGGTGGGTTAGTCATGGGAAATGCAGGGCTACAGGGATAGGATTGGGGGGTGGGTCTGGGTGAGATGCTGTTCTGAGGGTTGGTGCAGACTCGATGGGCCAAATGGCCTCTTTCCACACTGTAGGGATTCTATAAAGAGGAAATTGCCTCATGCATTGTGGACAGAGTCTGTGAGCCTGGACGGGGTGGTCCTTTTCCTTCTGGACTGGCAGAGGAAACCACAATGCCAGACGCTGTCAGCCCGGTCAACCTATACCAGTGTGACCTCAACTTCTGGAGGAATGCCCGGCAGTTGCATATGAAGGTCTGTGATCTTTTCCACTTCACTATGTTCTCTACCATCTTGCACTCATTCCCTATTGCTATTACTTCACCCAACTCCTGCTGTACCATTCTCACTATCATGTGCAACATCTTCCCTCACTTGTTGTCACCCATCTCAGACCACTAACCCTGCATGACCTCTGTGCCTCCTCCTCGCTCAATCAGTATGCCTCACCATTGCCTCCACTCTGCACCAACTCTAACAGCTGTGCTAGCCACTTGCAAGAATGACCCCAAGATGAAGGGCTTGTCATATGAGCAGCGGTTGACGACTCTCGGTCTGCCCTCGATGGAGTTTAGAAGGATTGGGGAGGGCGGAAATCTCATTGAAGTGTTCAGAATACCGAGAAGCCTGGATAGAGTGGACGTGGAGAAGATGTTTCCACTAGTAGGTGAGACTAGGACCTGAGGGCACAGCTTCAGAGTGAACGGACGACCCTTTAGAACTGAGATGAGAAGCAATTTCTTTCGCCAGAGAGTGGTGAATCTGTGGAACTCTACTGCAGAAGGCTGTGGAGGTGAAGTCATTTAGTGTCTTTAAAATAGAAATAAATATGTTCTTGATTAGTAAGGGGTTAAGGGTTATGGAAAGAAAGTAGGAGAATTGGGTTGAAAAACGTATCAGCCATGATCAAGTGGTGGCACAGACCCAGTGGCTTATTTCCTCTCCTCTATCCTTTTAGTCTATGATCTTCATCTCACTCATCCCTCCCTTTGTCTCATTCAGAAAAATTTGCATGAACTGTTGGGAGAGAACAAATCCTGAGTAAAAGACAGGCAGCGTGAGTGTGTGTTTCCGGGAATTTGGAGCACAATGGGATATCAGGGCAGAGTGGCACAGGTGCTTTTTGCTTTTTATTTCTGTGGTTTATAGTTTGTCAGGACTTTATTCTATAGTAATGATTACCTTAAGAACCTAGAGTAATTGCTGTTATTTGAAATTAAGTATCTTTCAAAACCTTTAATTTAAACTGGTGTGCTCTTCCTGCTCTTTGGGAATGTTTCTAGTGCCCATGGCCAGTGTGTGTGCAGGAAGTGTGTCCAGCCACATCTCCTGGAAGCTCATGTTTCAGAGCTGGAGCAGCTGCTGGGGACCTGATGGAGCATCCATGAGGTGGAAGGTATTGTGGGTAGCAGGTATAGACAGGTGGTCACACCAGAGGCTAAGACTCCAGGGGCGGAAAGGGAATGGGAGACCAGCAGATAGAACAAGTGGACTAGATATGCCATTTTGGATACTCGGAACAACCTGTCAGGGGAAAGCAGCAACAGCCAAATTTGTTGCACTGTAGTTGATTCTGCTGCATGGGGAGGGGTAAAATGTGGGAAATGCGATACTTATCCAGGAGTCAACTGTAAGGGGAATCGACATGGGTTTCTGAAACTGCAAATGCGACTCCAGGGTGGTATGTTGCCACCCTGGTGCTCAGGCCAAGGATGTCTCAGAGCTGCGCCGGGACATTTTGGAGGGGGAGGGTGAACAGCCGGTGGTCACAGTACACATTGGTACAAATGACAAATGTAAAATAAAAAGGATGAGGTCTAAAAGCAGAGTATCGGGAGTTAGGAAGTAAATTTAAAAATTAACACCTTAAAGTTAGTGATCTCAGGATTACTACTAATGGCACGTGCTAGACAGGGTAGAAATAGCAAGACATTTCAGATGAACATGTAGCTGAAGAGGTGGTGTGAGGTGGAGGGTTTCAGATTCATAGGGCATTGGGTCTGGTTCTGGGGAAGGGTGATCAGTACAAACTGGATGTGTTTCTACTGGGCAGGACTGGAACTGATATCCCTTGGGGAAGCTTTAAGCTAAAATGGCAGGGGAATGGGAACCTATGCAAGGAGTCAGAAGAAGCGGAATCAAAGACAAAGAGACAAAAAGGAATAAGAAAAGTGGATGGGCAGAGAAATGAAGGATTAGGACCAAAGGGCCAAGGTGAAAAATAATGGAAATAGGGCAAGTAATGCTAAAAAGACAAACTTTAAGACTTTCAGAGATAGTAAGAACTGCAGATGCTGAAGAATCCGAGATAACAAGGTGTAGAGCTGGATGAACACAGCAGGCCAAGCAGCATCAGAGGAGCAGGAAAGGTGACGTTTCGGGCCTAGACCAGCTCTGCACCTTGTTGTCCCTTAAGACTTTGTCCTTTTTAATATGTGGAGCATTTTCAATAAAGTAGATGAATTAATTGTGCAAATAGATGGAAATCAGTATGATGTGCTCAGGATTACAGAGACATGTTTGCAGGGTGACCAATCCAGGGGTATTCAGTATTTATATAAAAAAACCAAAAGAATTGTGGATGTGGTAAATCAGGAACAAAAAGAGAAGTTGCTGGAAAAGCTCAGCAGGTCTCGCAGCATTTGTGAGGAAAAAAATCAGAGGTAATGTTTCGGGTTCGGTGACCCTTCCTCAGAACCGAAGGTAGCTGGGGAGATGTCAGATTATATGCATAAGATAAGGAGGGGGATGGGGTAGGGCGTAAACAATACGATAAAGGATAGAGCCCGAAGAGAGAGAAGAGACAAAGGAGTTGATAACTATCTGGCTAGGAGGATGAATAGCTGTTAATGGGGACTGATAGTGACTAACGTAGGTAGAGTGTTGTGGCAGGCTATGTGATAACAAAGCCTGGTGTGTGGGGTCGGGGGCTAGGACATGCGAGAGTTTAGATCCTAAAATTATTGAACTCGACATTGAGTCCAGATGGCTGCAGGGTCCCCAAGT